ATAGGCCTGTAAAATAGTGCAACTACTTTGGAGACTTTTAGCAGTTTCTTAAATAGTTTGTATGTAACATCCCTGTGATCCATCAGTTCTACTCCTGGATATTTACTCAAGAGAAATGAAACATTTATTCACAAAAGTAATTGTACAAGAATATTTATAGCAACAATAAACTTTTTTTTTTTTTTTATTAATGTTATGATAGATTACAACCTTGTGAGATTTCAGTTGTACATTTTTGTTAGTCATGTTGTGGGTACACCACTTCCCCCTCTGTGCCCTCCCCCCACCCCCCCTTTTCCCTGGTAACCACCGATCAGATCTCCTTATCAATATACTAATTTCCACCTATGAGTGGAGTCATATAGAGTTCGTCTTTCTCTGACTGGCTTATTTCACTTAACATAATACCCTCGAGGTCCATCCACGTTGTTGTGAATGGGCCAATTTTGTCTTTTTTTAGGGCTGAGTAGTATTCCATTGTGTATATATACCTCATCTTCTTTATCCAATCATCAGTTTCTGGGCATGTAGGCTGGTTCCACGTCTTGGCTATTGTAAATAATGCTGCGATGAACATAGGGGTGCAACGGACTCTTGAGATTTCTGATATCAGGTTCTTAGGATAGATACCCAGTAATGGGATGGCTGGGTCATAGGGTATTTCTATTTTTAACTTTTTGAGAAGTCTCCATACTGTTTTCCATAGTGGCTGTACCAGTTTGCATTCCCACCAACAGTGTATGAGGGTTCCTCTTTCTCCACAACCTCTCCAACATTTGTCGCTCTTGGTTTTGGATGTTTTTGCCAATCTAACGGGTGTAAGGTGATATCTTAGTGTAGTTTTGATTTGCATTTCCCTGATGATTAGCGATGATGAACATCTTTTCATGTGTCTGTTGGCCATATTCATATCTTCTTTTGAGAAATGTCTGTTCATGTCCTCTGCCCATTTTTTGATCGGGTTGTTTGTTTTTTTGTTGTTAAGCAGTGTGAGTTCTTTGTATATTATGGAGATTAACCCTTTGTCGGATAAGTGGCTTGTAAATATTTTTTCCCAGTTAGTGAGCTGTTTTTTTGTTTCAATCCTGTTTTCCCTTGCCTTGAAGAAGCTCTTTAGTCTGATGAAGTCCCATTTGTTTATTCTTTCTATTGTTTCCCTCAACTGAGGAGTTACAGTGTCCGAAAAGATTCTTTTGAAACTGATGTCAAAGAGTGTACTGCCTATATTCTCTTCCAAAAGACTTATTGTCTCAGGCCTAATCTTTAGGACTTTGATCCATTTTGAGTTTATTTTGGTGTGTGGTGAAAAAGACTGGTCAATTTTCAATCTTTTGCATGTGGCTGTCCAGTTTTCCCAGCACCATTTGTTGAAGAGACTTTCTTTTCTCCATTGTAGGCCCTCTGCTCCTTTATCGAAGATGAGCTGTCCATAGATGTGTGGATTTATCTCTGGGCTTTCAGTTCTGTTCCATTGATCTGTGGACCTGTTTTTGTACCAGTACCATGCTGTTTTGATCACTGTAGCTTTGTAGTATGTTTTGAAATCGGGGATTGTGATTCCGCCGGCTTTGTTTTTCTTGCTCAGGATTGCTTTAGCAATTCGCGGTCTTTTGTTGCCCCATATGAATTTTAGGATTGTTTGTTCAATTTCTGTGAAGAATGTTCTTGGGATTCTGATTGGGATAGCATTGAATCTGTATATTGCTTTAGGTAGTATGGACATTTTAACTATGTTTATTCTTCCAATCCATGTGCAAGGGATGTCTTTCCATCTCTTTATGTCATCGCCTATTTCTTTCAAGAGAGTCTTGTAGTTTTCAATGTATAGATCCTTCACTTCCTTGGTTAAGTTTATCCCAAGGTATTTTATTCTTTTCGTTGCGATTGTGAATGGGATAGAGTGCTTGAGTTCTTTTTCTGTTAGTCTATTGTTAGTGTATAGAAATGCTACTGATTTATGCACGTTAATTTTATACCCTGCTACTTTGCTGTAGTTGTTGATTATTTCTAATAGTTTTTCTGTGGATTCTTTGGGGTTTCTATGTATAAGATCATGTCGTCTGCAAACAACGAGAGTTTTACTTCTTCGTTACCTATTTGGATTCCTTTTATTTCTTTTTCCTGCCGAATTGCTCTGGCCAGCACCTCCAGAACTATGTTGAATAGGAGTGGTGAAAGTGGGCACCCTTGTCTTGTTCCTGTCCTCAGAGGGATGGCTTTCAGTTTTTGTCCATTGAGTATGATGTTGGCTGTGGGTCTATCATATATGGCCTTTATTATGTTGAGGTACTTTCCTTCTATACCCATTTTACTGAGGGTTTTTATCATAAATGGGTGTTGGATCTTGTCGAATGCTTTCTCTGCATCTATTGAGATGATCATGTGGTTTTTGTTTTTCATTTTGTTGATGTAGTGTATCACGTTGATTGACTTGCGGATGTTGAACCATCCCTGTGTCCCTGGTATAAATCCCACTTGATCATGGTGTATAATCTTTTTGATGTATTGCTGTAATCGGTTTGCCAAAATTTTGTTGAGGATTTTTGCATCTATGTTCATCAGTGATATCGGCCTGTAGTTCTCCTTCTTTGTGTTGTCCTTGTCAGGTTTGGGGATCAGAGTGATGTTGGCTTGATAGAATGTGTTAGGGAGTTCTCCATCTTTCTCAATTTTCTGGAACAATTTGAGGAGAATAGGTATTAAGTCTTCTTTGAATGTTTGGTAGAATTCTCCAGAGAAGCCGTCTGGTCCTGGACTCTTATTTTTGGGGAGGTTTTGATTACCGTTTCTATTTCCTTACTTGTGATTGGCCTATTCAGATTCTCCATTTCTTCCTGATTCAGTTTGGGGAGATTGTAGGAGTCTAGGAATTTGTCCATTTCTTCCAGGTTGTTCAATTTGTTGGCATATAGTTTTTCATAGTATTCTCTTATAATGTGATTTAATGTTTTCAAAATAATTCTGTGCCAGTGAAGAATTGATAGTTTTTTACACAGCAAAATCTCAGTGAATTGTAAGCTCTTTGAGGCCAGTCTGTCTTATTACTGCTTTATTTCCAGTGCTGGGCTTAAGACTTACAGACTTGGCATATAATAGTGTTCCATTTGAGAATCACCAGTTTGAAGCCAGAGGGAGTATGAAAAGAGAAAAGAAGGTCTTGGATTGACTCTTGGTGGGTATTCATAGTTAACAGAGAACAAGAGGAGAAACAGAAGAGAGATGGTTGAATTCTGAAAACTACAACTGGGTGTTTTAAAAAAACCAAGGATTGAGAGTTTGAGGTTTTTTAATTCCTGAGAAAGGAGTAATACATAGTTTCTGATGTAATAGCAGAATCAAGCAAAAAATAGAAGTATTGGTGATACTTCAAAGTACATTGTCAAGAGTGTACTTATCACAGAAACCAGATTCCAGAGACCTAAGGAGGATATGATTATAAATTATCAGTTTAAGGAAATAATTATTTGATAATAGCATGAAATTCAAGTCAAATTGTTTTTTAAAAAAGGCATATAAAAACGGCAGAAAGAGTCAAGGAGGGAAAAGGTGCAAGAGAGAGATGGGACACATGCAAATACAAGATCCCTTGGATCTCAAGAAGAAATGGGATCAAAAGTGCGAATTGAAGTCTTTAGCTTTTTAAAGATAGTTACCTCTTTGTCTGAGATAGAAGGAGGAGGAGTGAACAGGGTTGATATATTCAGGTACAGGGATGCAAATAAACATAGAAGGATGGCTGTTATCCATCTAGTCTTCTAACCAGATGAAAATGAAAGATAATGAAGGGACCTTTAAAAGATAAAGTCTACAGGAATAGTTCTTAACCTTTAGGAGAGGAATGTCAGGGTGTGTGGAAGGGGTCTAGTGTAGTTTAAAATATTCCACATGTGATTGTAGATTCTGATAATATCCTCCTTGCTCCCTTTGAGAACCACTCATTTATGTCACTTGTAAGGTTTTATCAGTAGAGAATTAGCACACATGGATAAAAGAATTTTAAAGAGTTTAATTGACCTTTAGCTAGAATTTGTGGTGCTTTCTTCTGCATGGTAGTAATTATATGAGAGTGATAATTTTTCCCCTATAATTCTCAAGGTGATGTTTTATAATAGATGTTACCTCAATGATCTGTTTGATATATTTGTGTGCTTTTCATCTACTTGATAAAAACTGAAACTATCAACTGTATAAAATATCTTTGGGGGGCTGGCCCCATGGTGTAGTGTTAAGTTCAGCACGCTCTGCTTCAGTGGCCTGGGTTTTCGGGTTCGGATCCTGGGTGCAGACCTGTACCACTTGTCAGCCATGCTGTGGTGGCAACCCACATATAAAATGGAGGAAGATTGTTACAGATGTTAGCTCAGGGCTAATCTTCTTCAAGAAAAAAAAAGAGGAAGATTGGTAACAGATGTTAGCTCAGGGCTAATCTTCCTTAGCAAGAAAAAATGGGATGTGACGGTAATTAAAACAGTTTTTCCTAGTTTAAAATATATTTGGTCAGGTAAGGTATATATAAACAAAATACTTAAGTAGTAATGTCACTTAGTGCCAAAATTCTGTTTAAGCTTAGAATATGTAGATTACACTGTGGTGGTATTTTTCAAACTGTGGACCCAGGGTCCATTAATGGCTCATGAAATCAATTTAATAGCTCACAACCATTGTTTTTCTTTTTTAATGGACTCAAATAAACTGGAGTGCACTGAATGCAGTAAGAAATATTTGTGGAACTTTTCAACATATGTATGTATGTATCTGTGTACTGAGTTGGGTGAAAGACATATTTTTTACTGTGGATTGCAGTCACAAGTGTTGGAAAACCACTGTAGGTTGTTTTTGAAAATGAATGTGTACATTATAAATCTTAAAGTCTCTTATTTTCATCTGTTTGTAGAATTCATTCAAGTCTATATTGACATCACAACTAACCATATATATTTTGTGTGTGTTTGTGTGTATATCAATTTATATATGTGTGTGTATTTTTTTTTCCTTAATAGGTGCAATGGATGAGCTTCATAGTCTGGATCCAAGAAGGCAAGAATTGTTGGAAGCTAGATTTACAGGAGTTGCAAGTGGGAGCACTGGGAGCACTGGCAGTTGCAGTGTTGGAGCTAAAGTGAGTAAGACTGTAATCATTTGACATTATTTTCTTGTATTAAATGATCTAAAAAATATTTTGTAAAGGATCTCTACCTATGCGCTTAACAGCAAATTATTACTTTCTATAATTTTTATAATGTATACAAAAAATTTTAGTATTTGTAAACCTGATTTCTAATATGGCATAACATATTTTAGGGGCATTATGTTACATACAGCTTGATAGGTTTCAGGGGTAAAAAGGAGTTTGGTAGATTGTACTGCCTATTTCCCATTACATAATTTTTAACCTTTCCAATCCTTTGTTTCTTTTTTGCCCCTATCACCCATATTCCTATCTGTATATGTTCCTTTTTGTACATTAATCCACGTTAATGCTTCTAACTGCTGCATACAACTTAATAGTGTATCTGTTAGGCCTTCCAGTGACAGACATCAGGTTGTCTTCAATTCCCCACTACCTCACACTGCATTGAATTTCTTGTGCTCGATCTCTTACTGACCTTTGTGAGCAAAATTGAATAAATAGTGCAAGATTGCTATTGTACAAAAACAGTTGTACAATACTAATCTGCACTTTCAGCAGAGTGCATGAGTATTTCGATATCCTCAGAAACACTTAGCCTCATCCAGATTCCTTATTTTTGATGGTTTAATAAAATATCATCACATTGTTTTACTTGTACCACAAGTTATTTTGAGCATTTCTTCATCTGCTGTTAACTTTTTGGGAGTCTCTTGTAAATTGTTCCAATTCTTTGCCCGTTTTACTGTCAGGATTACTGTCTTTTTGAAACTGATTTTCCCATGTTCCTTGTATATTCTACATATTAATTCTCTTTTGGTTGTCTACAGTGCAAATAAATTCTCCCATTTTGTCATGTCTATTAACTTTATTCATGGTATCCATCATTGTATAGGATCCTTGTACAGAACTCTTTGCTTTTGTTGTAATCAAACTCACCAATTTTTTGCCTTATGGTATGTACCTCTGATGTTTTGACTAACTTGGTATACTAAGAAAAATAGTCATCACCATTAACCATCAGGGTCAAGTAGACCCTTTTGCTATTTTTGTATTTTAAGTTGTTTTACCAGTATTTTATAGCAGTAGGGATAAAGGTATAATGAAAAACAACTTTATCAGGAATTTTAATAAGAATTTAAAGATACTGAAAACCTCTTTGTATCAGGTAAGTTTTGGTGCACAAGCATCATAAAACATGAAGGATATTGTCATGTGTCCTTTGAGCATGAGATGATCCAGGTTCGTGTTGCAGAATATCATATGATTAAGTCCATTTGTTGAATGACTGATGAGAATATCATCTTTCCCTTTTCCTTAGAAATATATTGTCCAATTCATTGATTGTTGAATTTGAGAAAATTCATCTAGGATAATGTCATTTGACAACTCTGAGATTTTACTTATATGGTAATGTCACCACCATCTGTTTTAGAGTCTAAAGGTGCTGTTATCTTTTTGTATTTAGTTTCCGATTTTTCTAATAATTATAAAATGTCTTCCTCTGTTATTTTCTTCTCTTGACCATCTTGGGTGGAAAATGAAAATTTTTAAATTCTCGTCTAGAGTCAATGAAACCTAAAATCAGACTACAAAGATAATGTGTCTAGTCTTAAAATTCTTGAAAGATGATGCAGTACTTTGGGCAACACAAGAACATGACTGAAAGGTGACAGTTTATTTCACTATTGCATCATCCTCTTAGGTCATTAAATCTGTATTGATTTTCTACTATAATAAATTACCACAAAGTTGCTTTAAAAAACACAAATTTATTATCTTATAGTTCTTTGTGGTCAGGAGTCTGACACCAGTCTCACTGGGCTAAAATCAAAGTATCTGCAGGGCTGCATTCTTTTCTGGAGGCTCTAGGGGAGGATCCCTTTCCTTGCCTTTTCCAGCTTCTAGAGGCCTTACCTGCATTCCTTGGCTTGTGGTCTCTTTCCTCCATCTTCAAAGCCGGCAGGTGTTGCATCTCTCTTACTCTTGGGAAGTCACATCTCCCACTGACCACAGCTGGAAAGGTTCTACACTTTTAAGTACTCATGTGATTGGATTGGCCCCACCCTAATCTGGGTATAATTTCCCTCAATTCAAAGTCCTCACCCTTAATCACATCTGCAAAGTCCCTTTTGCCATATAAGGTAACATTCACAGGTCCTGGGGATTAGGGCATGGGTATCACTGGGGCCATTGTTTTGCCTGTCATACCATCATAGTGGTTTTTGTTTGTTTTAGTGTGGTTGGGAATAATTGATCAACAATGACAAATAATAATGAAGTAATTCCTAGGATGATGTAGTAACAAAATATGGGAAAAGTAAGATGCCATAATGTATTTTAGATTTATGAAAGGTCCAGTGGGCATCTGGTAATTAACTGCAAGATAGAATGTATTTTATTCTGTTGAAAATAAATTTTATTTTTATTGTTTGGATGATTTCCAAGAAAGAATAAAAGTACTGAAATATTAATCTTTACAAATAGTTAGAACTGCTGGAAAAAGAAGCTTAAAAACTAAAATTGGGTCCAGTGGACCCTGATGGTCTTCTATGAGTTAAATACTTCGGCCCCATGCCTGGGCCACCAAGATATTCTATAGTTTCTTCTATTCATTTTATATTTTTACTGTCATATTTGCTCTTTAGTTCATCTAGGCCTCACCTTTTATATCATGTTGATAGGGATCCAGTTTTATTTTTGTCCATCTAGTAAACCAGTTTTCTCCACAATGCTTCTTAAATCATCTGTATTTTTCCACTGGTTAATGATGCCACTTTTGTCATATATTAAGATGCCATGTATATATACACATCTGTCTCTGAAATTTCTCGTATGTTCCTGTAGTCTGTCTGAATTCTTGTGCTAGTATCACATTAAAAAAAAATACTGTTGTATTTTGGTATGTCTTTTTTATATGTTAGAGCAAGTCTTTAATCTTCTTTTGTAAGTTTGACAGTTATTTATGGATCTTTATTCCCACGTGTAAAATTAGAGCATCTCTTCATTTGCTTGGTGGCACTTGGGAATTTTTTTCTCTATAATAGCTTATTTATATCTTTTTCCTTAAAAGATTCAAATAGAATTTTTATTCTGAATGCATTGAATTTATAGATTAATTTCAGAAGTACTGAAATCTTTATAAGGTTAAGTTGTCCCATCCAGATACATGAAATGTCCCTCCGTTTATTCAGTTCTCTCTATAGAGTTCTTAAGAAATTTTGGTTAGTTTTTATGAATTTTCTTTTTGGCTAATTCCTGTATACTTTAAAGTTTTTGTGGCTAAAGTATTTTTTATTATATTTTCTAGTTGGTTGTTGCTGACTAGGAGGCTTTTGATTTTTACAGGTTGGTCTTATATGTTAGCAGTCTTGCTGTTGGTCTCTTCTATTGACTGTAATAGTTTGTTGATTCTCTAGGTTTCTCTAAGAGAAATAAGTATCTTCTAAAAATGACAGTTTTATTTCCTATACCTCATATATATATTCCTTATATTGGTCATGACCTTCAGTATATGTCTTGTTCAAGAAGAATCATCTAAAGTTTCTCCATTAAGTAGAATGTTTGCCGTAGGTTTTATGTATAAGACCACGACCAAATTAAACGAGCTTTTCTGTTCCTGGTTAGTTTAGAAGTTTTTGTTCTTTTGTTTGTTTTAAAAATCATAAATGCTGTTGAACTTTATGAAAATATTTTTTGGTTCTTGATTGAAAGAATCATAAAATTTTTTCCTTTGGGTTATTAATGTGGTGAATTACGTTAATTTCTTTTTTTAATGTTGAACTTTGCAGTTCTGGGATAAACCCTACTTGATTATAATTTACTATTTTAAAAAATACATTTACTGGATTTAATACATGATAAATTGTTTTATTTAGGATTCTTACATATCTGCTTATAAGAGAAATACATGTGCAGACCTGACGAGTAATAGTTTAGTGAGTTTTGACAAACATGTACACCTGTAGTAATCCATATCCCTCTCAAGACACAGAACATTTTCTGTTTTATAAATCAGTACCACACTAGTCCCATGAAATGAGCTGCTTTCTCTTTCACTCTTTTCAACATCCTGTATATGATAGGAAATGTTCATGGGAAGATGGGTAAACATTCGCCTTAAAACTCTGTTGGCCGGGGGTTTGTTGGGAGGGGAGGTCTTTTACTACCATTTTAATGTCTTTACTATTATTTAGTTTACTAATCTATTTCATTTAAGCTTTTCAAACGTATTACTGTGTAGTTATAATACTTTTAAAAACTTCCTTTGTTATTTCCTTTCTGATCATTCTTTCATATTCTCCTTTTCTATTCATTTTTGCCAGAGCTCTGACTAATCTAATGACTATTTTAAAGAAGCTCTTCAGACTATTTCAGATTTTGGCTTTAATCTTTCACTGGTTTTTTTTCCCACCATTGATTTTTGTCTTCATAATTTACTTACTTGTTCTTTTGGGTTTTCTCCGTGGCTCTTCTTCCAGCTATTGAGTTGAATGAATTAGTGTATTTATTTATATAGAGACATAATTAACGTACAGTAAAACGTACAAATTTTAAGTGTTTAGTTATGATTCCCCTCCCCCCACTCCCATGGTTTTTATTAAGATATAATTTACATGTAGTAAAATTCACCCTTTTTAGTATATACTTCTTCTGTGAGTTTTCACAAATGTATACAATCTGTACCCCTACCACAATTAAGATATAAAATAGATCCCAAAATATTCCCCCATGCCCTTTTGTAGTCAGGTCCTCTAGGTTGCCCCTGGCAGGCACTGATCTGTTTTTTGTTCTTGGAGTTTTGCCTTTGCAAGAGTGTCATATAAATTGAGTAAGTATTACAATATGTAGACTTTTGAGTCTGACTTCCTACAACTTAGCATAATGCATTCATTTGAGATTCATCCATGTTGTATGTTCTCAATAGTTTGCTATTTTTTATTGCTAAATAGTATTCCATTGTATAAATATACCATACTTTCTTTTAACACATTTCTTCTAGATGAGGAACATTTGGGTTGTTTCTAATATTTTGAGAGTTACAAATAAAGCTGCTATAAACATTTGTATATTCCTTCCTCTTAGATTTGACAGTTGTTTATGTGTTGTAAATACCACAAATGGAGTTTTTCCTGATGTTTTAAAGTTACATTATGATGACACTCTGTATTCGTTTATTTATTCCTATTCTCTCAAACTGATATTTATGCAGTCCTCCCCCTTTTTTTCAACTCGTTACTTTGAAAAAAATGTTATACCTGGAGAAAAGTTGGAAATGTTGTGCAAGGAATACTTGCATGCTCTTTATCTGGATTTAAGAGATGTAAACATTTTTGCCAAATTTATGCTTGTATATACACACACATTCCTACCATTGCTCTCTAGTATTACTTTGGTCTCTGCAGTGAATGTGAACAGACCTCCAAGGAGCCTGCTTCATTTTAGTGGGGAATGGTACTTAGGAACCAAGCTAGGTATGCTTGTTGTTATGTGGTAGTCTCTTAGAAAGTAGAAGGAATGTAGAATCAACATTTAATTTGATTTAATATTATTAGGAATAATTTGATTAAGGAAGGCAAGGATCATCAGTGGATGCTTAAAACTGTTTAGTGAAATGTTTTGGAGAACAGTATATTTACAAGGTCTCAAAGTTTCATGCTCTAGATTAGTTATTAATGACAAAAGAGAAAATGTGCTTTTAAAATGGAGATTTTTTTTTGGTCACCACCATAATAAACAAGATTAAACTTTGCATTGGCAGTGTCGCAGAGAGTCTGACATTATGTGCATCCTGAGGTGATGCAATAGGAAGAACACGTATCACCTGTAGTTTTCATGCTGGAAATGTTTGATTTGAATTTAATCATGAGGAAATACTCCTGGGACATCCTGCTGGAGAGCTGGCCTGGACTTTTTAGAGTATTCAGTGCTGTGAAGAACAAAGGGAAGCAGAAGGACTCTTCTAGATTAGATGAGACAAAAGAGACATAGCAGCCAAATGCAATGCGTGAATCTGTGAATCCTCATTTGCTCTTGGATTGGGAGAAAATTAGTTATAAAGGACATTTTTGAGACAGCTGGGCAAATTTGAGTATGGACTGTATGTTGGATGATGATATTGAATTAATGTTGGTTTTTCTGTTCTTTTTAGGTAAGCTTGTATTTTAAGAATAGTCATTTAAATTTACAAACAAATATAGGTGAAGCTACAGAATGTGAGACTGTGGTAAGCAATGACTCTCAGAATGTTTTTTTTTGGCGGGGGGGAGGAGTAAGATTGGCTCTGAGCTAACTTCTGTTCCAGTCTTCCTCTCTTTTGTATGTGGGATGCCGCCACAGCATGTCTTGATGAATAGTGTGGAGGTCTGCGCCCAGGATCCGAACTGACAAACCCTGGGCTGCCATAGTGGAGCGTGCAAACTTAACCACTCTGCCACTGGGCTGGCCCCTCTTATAATGTTTTTATTTAAATTGATGGTGATAATGTGCTGGTGAAATGCAGTGTTATTGGATAGGCAAATTTTAATAATAGTAGCTCAGGCGTTTGTAATGTGGAAGTAAAAGCATTCTAAGGATCAAATTTCTGTTAGTGATAGTGCTCTGGGAGAGGAGGGACAGAGGAGAAAGAAAATCATCTAGGAGTACAGGTGATCTTTAAGATTTGACATATCTATAGAGAAAAACAGGGTAAGATGTTACTAAAAATAAAACGAAGAAAGTAGTAGGCATAAGCAACAGAGATACTGTCCATAGAACTTTCAAAATGCTATGATGGGGTGTAGAAGGAGGAGTAAAAAGAAACTTAATCCAGGGGCCCACCTGGTGGTGCAATGGTTAAGTGTGCATGTTCCACTTGGGGGGCCGGGGTTTGCTGGTTTGGATCCTGGGAGCGGACTGGCACTGCTTGGCAAGCCGTGCTGTGGCAGGCGTCCCACATATAAACTAGAGGAAGATGGGCACGGATATTAGCTCAGGGCCAGTCTTGCTCAGCAAAAGGAGGAGGATTGGCAGCAGTTAGCTCAGAGCTAATCTTCCTCAAAAAAAAAGAAACTTAATCCAATAAAAGTGAGGGAGAGAAAACGAGTAAACAAGAAAAATACTATATTTTTATCTATTATATAATATGGAAGAAATAAAACAAGTATATATTATCACAGTAAATGAGAATTCATCTGTAGGCTATTGACAAGAAACATCCCCCCAAAATGACAAAGATTAGAAATAACTAGAAAGAAAATATTTCCGGTAATCATAAAGAAAAAGAAAGTAGAACTGAGTGTAAATTTGAGATCAGTTTCTCCCTGACTCAGAGCCTTCCAAAGACTTCCCACTGCGTTTAAAGTAAAATTCAGGGTCTTCACCATGCCCTCATAAGACCCGCTGCTCTAGCTCTAGACTGACTACTCAGCTAACAGCTGTCCCACTACTGCACCCACACTGGTTTATTTGCCAGTTGCTGCAAACATACTTCTCCCTCACTTTATTAAAATTTCTGCTCAATCTCACCTCTTCAGAGAGACTTTCTCTGATCACTCTATGTAAGATGATACCTATATCACTCTAGCCCTTTCTCTGCTTAATTTTTTTTAACCTGCTTGTTGATTCCTTATATAATCCTGAATATTTATATATTTGTTTATTGTCTCCTTTCCTTCTTGTAGTGTAAATTCCATAAGCACTTGGACTTAAATCTTTTTTTTTTTACAGCTATATTCCTACCATCTACAACAGTACTAAGACCCTCAGTAAATATTTTCGAGTGGACGAATGTATATCAAGTAAAACATTGTTCAAAAACAAAAGCCTGAATGGTACAAAGATAGATATTTTTTAGGGACTAAGAATCCATGAAGAAGATATGACAGTTGTAAACTTTTATATATCAAATAGTTATAAAAATACACGGTGAATTTATTAAAATACAGTTTTGTGATGGATTTTAATATACTTTTAGATTTTGACTGTTCAAATATATATAAAAGAGCAAAGCTGTACAGGATTTGCGCAATATAATTTATAAGCTTAATTTGTTAGATATACATACAGACACAACAGTCAGTCTTCTTTATTCGAGGATTCGGTAATTGCAAATTTGCCTACTTGATAAAATTCATTTGTAGCCTCAAAATCAGTACTTGAATTGCTTTCCCAGTCATTCAAAGGCCTGTGCATATGTAGAGTGGTGAAAAATTTGAGTCACCTGGGGCTGAACAAAACAATACTGTGCCTGCGTGTTTCAGCTCTCATACTGTAAACAAGTGTTCTTTTTGCAGTTTACTTAGTGCCACATTTTTATACTTTTTATTGGTAGTTTCACTGTGTAAAATGGACTCCAAGGATAATAGTGCTGAAGTGCTGACTAGTGTTCTACGCACAAGAAGGCTGTGATATGTCTTAGGGAGAAAATACATGTGCTTTGGTCAGGAATGAGTTACAGTGCTATTGGCCATGAATTCCATCTGAATGAATAGACAATATATACTACATAAGATGTCTTTAAACAGAAACACACTTTTATATAAAACAAGGTTACCTGTTGATTGGTTGGGATGAAAATGAGACAAGAAGCTTTCAGGAACGTAAGCCTGTACATAGTTCCCTTAGCAGCAGTGATTCACCATTTGCTAATTCAGTGTTCACAATTGATAACAAAAATTGACTGGAGAGAGAAAGAACTTATATTCCATTATATGCCACTTCTTTTCTCTTACCCCAAGCTTGCTTCACCTGTTTATTTTACTTGCCTGAGATCCCTGTGGCATGAGTTTGTGGCTATATTCTAGGATTGCAGAGAGAAGGTAAAGGTAAATGTTATAAATTGTACTGATGTAAAGTTAAATGTATAGCTGTCATGTTTGGAGAGGGAGCTAAAAACTGTAAAGATCTATTTTCTTATTTACATAGGAGTCACATAGAGTTTAAAGAATAAAAAAATTTAAAGTTAAAATAACTTTGAAGAATGAAAAATAAGAATATAAATATTTCAGGAAGAAGGGGAAGCTGTGATGCCAGTGAACTAAATTCTTAATCTTTCACGGTAGGGTCAAAAAGGAATGTATTGAAATATAGCACATAAGTGGAATACTTTGCACCTGTTTGAAAGAAAGGAAATAGCAAAGGAAAAAAGGAATGAAAAAGCTATCTATGTGTTTATTTGGAAATTTCTCCAAGATATATTAACAGAAAAGAAAGCAATGCAGGACAGTCTGCGTAATGTTATCTTTTGAGTAGGAAGAGAGGAACCAAAGAATGTGTATTTAATTTGCTAGGGTAAACATTTAGCCTCTAGAAAGGTTCTGAGAAACAAACTGAAGCAGCCTGTTGATATTGCCTATTCAAAACTTAAATTAGAAACAGTTTTTTAAAAAGTGGTTCCCTCTGAATAGTGAGACTTCTGTGGGAGCAAGAAATTTATATTTCTGTAATGAATTTTTTTCCATGTGCCTGTGTTGCTTTTATTTTTTAAAAAATACCCCATGGGTATTTGCAAAAAAAAAAAAATCTGTTTTCTGTTTTGAAGGCTTCAAAAGTCTGTGAGTGTGTTTTGCATGTGCACATACTATATATACCTGAGTGTATAAATGGTTATGTACTAGATTTTGTCAAGCTTTTTTCTCCCCTCTCTGTGCTTTCCCCCAATTAATTTGTAACTTTTATAGTCTTTTTGTATTGAGACATAATTCGCATACTATAAAATCGACACTTTTAAAGTATACGTTTCAGTGGTTTTTAGTACTGTTGTCCCTCAGTATCCTTGGGGGATTGGTTCCAGGATCCCTTGCAGATACCAAAATCCATGAATGTTCAAGTCCCTTATCTAAAATGGTGTAGTATTTGCATGTAACATTCGCACATTCTTCCATATACTTTAAATCATCTGTAGATTACGTATAATACCTAATACAATGTAAATGCGATGTAACTCGTTGTTATACTGTATTGTTTAGGGAATAATGACAAGAAAAAGAAAGTACAGACGCAACCAGTGTAGGCTTTTCGATTCAAAATTGGTGAATCCGTGGATGCAGAACCCGTGGATATGGAGGGCCAACTGTATATCGCAGAGTTGTGCAGCCATCACTGCTGTCTAATTCTGGAATAGTTTTATTACCCCAAAAAGAAAGTCCATAAACATCAGCAGCGACTCTCCCATTCTCCTGCTCTCTTACACCACTGTCCACCTCCTGGCATCCAGTAGTCTACTTGCTCTCTCTATGGATTTGATTATTCTGAACAATTCATACTTTCACCTTGTGTAATGTTTTCATAGTTCATGAATGTTGTAGTATATATTAGTACTTCATTCCTTTTTATGACTGAATATTCCATTGTATTGATGTATCACATTTTGTTTATCCGTTCATCAGTTGATGGACATTTTGGTCGTTTCCATTTTTTGACATGAATAATGCTGCTGTGAACACTCTGGTACAAGTTTTTGTGTAGACATATGTTTTCAGTTCTCTTGGGTACCAAGGAATGGAATTAAGTCACTGTGATGTTGACACAGGAAAGAAAAATAGACCAATATAAGAGAATAGAGTCCAGCAACAGATGCATTCACATACAGTAACTTAATATATGACAAAGGTGACACTGCAGTGCAGTGGGCAAAGGGTGTTCTTTTATAATAGATGATGCTGGATCAATTGGACATCCATATGAGAAAAAAAATGACTCTTGACCCTCAACTCTTGTGACTTGTAGATCTAAATATGAAAGATAAAGCAATTAGGATTTAATAAGAATAATGACAGATTTCATAAATGGGGTCACAAAAGGCACTAACCATAAAGAAAAACATTTCATAAGTGTCACTGTGTTCCAGCAACACCAATATATGAGTGAAAAGGCAAGTCATGGAGGATTCATACTCAGCATATGCTAAGAGTTCTTACTATCAAGAAAGAAAAGACACACAATCCATGGTCAGAGTTTCAAATGCCAACTCGTTCTACCAGGCCTATAATGAAAATTAGTAGAACCATATCCTCTTCTTCCAGCCCTACGTTCTTTCTTCACAGAGGCAGTCCTCATCTTGTAGCTGTATATTTTATATGTTTTGTTTTATTTATGTCTGTATTTCAAAATAAGTTTATTATAGATCTTTGTCTTTTTCAGTTTTAGGTATTTATTAACTTTGACTTATGGAATATGAGGAGTTGACTCTTTTAAATGATTTACTTTTCTACTGCTATGGAAATACTGAAACTTCCCTGACCCCAT